GAGAACCCGGAGAGAACCCACGCTGCACGGGGAGAACATGGAGACTCCACGCAGGAAGATCCCGGGTGTCCTCACCGGGACGCCAACCGGCAACCCTTTAGCTGTGAGACCACGGTGCTAACCACCGAGACACCTGCAGCCCCTGCAGGACTTTATGTTGCAGAGAAACATGAACCTCAGTGAAGGAACACGAGGCAGAAGCTGATCAGAGTTCAGACGTAAAACAGGAGATTAAATAAGAACACAGTGACATATTGGATCATGTGATGACCTTTAGTGAAGCTGAATCCTGACTTCCTTTAATTTTATAACCTTCTTTTAAAACTGAACACAACTCTGACGAAACAGAAGATGCATAAAGTCTGGTCCAGTATCTCAGCTGTGTTCTTTCAGACAGTATTTTCGTATAAACACCTTCCAGCACTGCAGAGATGTTCAACACTCAGGACTCCACCAAGACTAAGTTCTTTTACTCTAAGTCCTGCACTGAGTAAAAGTCCTGAAGTGTTCCTGAGTGTTGAACGATCCTGGTCAGACTGCAGACTCCTCTACGACTGCTCTCCTGATGGAGGGCAGCAGGAACATCTGCTCATGTCACCTAAAACAGCTTCTTGATTATTAGTCCCAGTCTGTGCTCACCTCATGCGACAGGTAAAAGGCAGCGATGCCGAGCGGCCAGAAGCAGCAGAGCATGGAGAAGACGCTGAGGCCCAGGTGATCTCTGGGAGGCATCAGCAGGAAGGCGTCCTCGCTCTCTGATTCGCTGGAGTAATCGCTCTGATGAAACACACCCAGGAACTGATCAATACTCAGGATATTAGCTCAGTGATCAGCCTATCGTGTGACTCAGCTGTGATGACAGGGTTTGTCTTTCTGCGTCTAAATGTTCCTGAAACAACCATCACTGTTTAAAGCTCCGCCCAGCCCGACTGTGATTGGTGTAGAGAAACACAGACGTGATGCTGAGCTGCAGTCGGACTGTTACGGAGCTGTTGGTGAATAACAGGATTCACTGCTGCTTCTTAAACATGGTCACAGGAACGTTTCTGCTCGTTTGAAAACGTTCTTTTTCTGTTCAACGCCCAGTGGCTCTACAATAGCACTGCACCTGAGCTGTGATAAACCGTTAGCGCTCAGTAATCCTCCTGTGGCGGTATTAGAGCCTCGGAGTAGATTAAAGCTGGAGTTCACTGAGACAGAATCACAGCGTTAGCAGCTAATCGTCTCTAAAGCGATTGGCTGTTAGAGCTGCAGCTTGCTAATCTCAACCAGACAGCAGCACAGCCACTGGAAGGCTCCTGTGTTCTGATAGATCCATGCTAACACACTCCAGTCTTTATGCTAAGCGGAGATAAAATTCTCAATAGCCCACATAACTGAATGCAATTTGTAGTGTTCAAGGTGAAGCTGTAACTCCAGTAAACTAGGCAGCAGGATAACCTGGTGACTAGCTTGTTAGCCACCAAGATGCAACATAAAGTTGATGGAAAGTGGATTGTTTTTCCACCTGTGATGGAGCTAGGCTAACAGCTTGTACCAGTGTTTAGCTTGTGTGCTAAACTAAGCTAAGCACTGAGGACTTTCCAACATGTGGAGAAGTTCATCAGGTCAAAGACAATTGCTGTTTTCCTGAAGCAGAAATTCAGCTGAGCTCAGACTGTCAGTTTTGGATATTAAGCAAAGAGTTTAAGTTAGCTTCTAACTTCAGTTAGCTTCTAGGTTCAGTTTGCATTTAGGTTAGCTTACAGGTTTAATTAGCTTGTAAGCTTAGCAAGTTTCTTGGTTTAGATAGCCACTAGGTTAGCGTCTAGGTTTAGCTAGCTCCAGTTAGTTTCTAGATTTAGTTAGTGTCTTGGTTCAGCTAGCTTTAAAGTGCAGTTAGTTTCTAGAACTAGTTAGCTCCAGATAACCTTTGCATGTAGTTAAGGATTCAAGGATTCTAGGTTTGGTTAAGTAGTTCTGAGGTTCAGTTAGCTTCAAGGTTCCATAAGCTACAGTTAGCTTCTTGGTTCAGCTAAGTAAGTAAGCTCTAAGTTTAGTCATCTTCTAAAAAAAGATGATGAAAAGACTCACAGCAGCATCTGATGGATGTTAGCAGACCTGCAGCTCACCAGCAGGAGGCGCTACTGTACAACTGCCAACCATTTGAAATAAATGTGTTTTCCATTCATGATGAGTTAATTCTACTGACAGAGACCCTGAGGACAGAAATGTCAGACGGTGGATCTCTTTGCTCACCTCGAGCTCCTGGAAGTCGTCGTCGTCGTCGATGTCATACGACAGCGTGTGAATCTTTGCTTCATCTCCAGAAAACTCCAGAAACTTCCCATCAGCAAACAGCAGCACCTCCTTTGTGGAGGCAGCGGGGGCAGCAGAGGAGGCATCAAGACCGAGCCCCTCGATGAAGGTGGTCTCACAGCAGTCTCCTCCTCCAGCCTCCCCCCAGGCCCTCAGCACGCTCTCCGGGCACAGCAGGAGGCCGGCGGCCGGCCGGAGGCGGGGGTCCGGCACCACCTGGTGGGGAAGGAGAGCGCTGGGATTGAGGAGCTGAGGAGGAGCACCGCTGGGCTCCTGCTGAGAGGGGGCGCTAACCACCACACGACCCTGATACTGAGGTGCCGAGTACACGGACAGTAGCGCCTCACGAGGCTCCGCCCCCAACAGGTGGGTGTTGATGACGCCATTTTGTCCTCGCGGTGAGGCTCCTCCCATTTGAGAGGAGGATTCAGCCCCCTCTCCCCCCTCCATCCTCACAACTCCTCCTCAGGGGTGTCTCTCAGAGAGGTCAGGGGTCATCAGAGGTCATCAGGGGTCATCAGAGGTCATCAGTAGTCTCCTGAAAATAAGATGAAACACATCCAGGCAACAGCAGCTCAAATCTGGACGTTTCTACACCGTGAGGACGTTTCTACA